ATTCGCAATAATATTGGACGCAAGTATTTTACATTTATTTAAATTAGAGGTCTCACATTAGAGCAATCAGCAATATTTCGATATCGAGTTGCTCTAATGTAAGGCCTCGGATTTGATTTAATGGACGATACTTGCCACCACAAAAACTGTGCATCAGACGAACCACCTGCAAAAATTTTTAGAAGTGCCATCGAAGTGATTCAGATTCCAAACATTGATGATGGAGGAAAAGGGAATCACGATGGACGACTGAATGAGAACCACCTTCCTGTGCAGATTCACAATAATTTATTGATTTAACTAGAATAAAAACGTAATTAGATTGAACAAATCAGACTTTAAATGGAACAATGCGTTTATTTGGTTCAAAATGAAAGAGGTTGAAACAAATACTTGTTTTATTTATAATAAAAAGCAAGTAATTCACAATAAATAAATATTTTTCCTACGAGCGTGCGCAAAGTAGTACTTTTCCGCACGCATTACCGTTCTCAAGGTTACACTTTTCCGCACTCAGTGCGGATACGGGCCTTATCCGCACTGAGTGCCGAAAAGTAAAAATAATTGTCAAGCAACAATAAGTGCACCTGTCGACTTTGACGCATGATGACAAATTTTTTCTCTGTTCACATATCAGCCAACATCTATACAAACACTGAATATAATTAACTTTGACACATTGTCAGAATTGTGTTCTCCATTTACATGCAAGAATCTACAAACTTCTTTCGCATCAAATTTAAATGCTTTAAGATGAACAGCTCTGACGAGGATTTCAATTTTCTGTTTTTTTGTTATGTAATTTTTTGATGAATGAATAGGTTCGCTTCAAGTTAATTGAAAATATGTAATTATCGTTTTTTTTTTTATTTTTGTTGTTACCTACCTGATATGAAGCTCGTAGGAAAAATTTTGTTCCTAACACGTGCGCAATGTGTCTTTTCCGCACGCAAACACTTATCCGAACTCCGCTTCGCGTCGTTCGTATAACTGTGTTTGCGTGCGGAAAAGTAACACTTTGCGCACTTGTTAGGAAAATAACTATATTGAATTCAAATATTTTCTATGAGCTAACTAATGCATGATTTATTTACTAGAACTAAATATTTATTTATTTTGTAAAAATGGTTGATATTGAGCTAAACCAAGAATAATTTAATTCAAGCAAACGGAATGGAAACGGTCAAACAAATTCAGATTTTTTTTTAAACAAATATTTGTTTGTCCATTATCAACCAAATATTTATTTAAGGGAACTCCATTTTTCTTTGGACAAACTGCTCCGGTGCATTAGAAAAACTGTTGTATTTACCAGGTGAAAGGAGGACGACTTAGAAACCCTCTAAATAATCCGGTCAAAAAATCTAATACAATATCTACAAATCGGTCAAAACTGAGTGAATTGGGACACGTTCTTCCATCTGGACACGCAGCTGCAGCTGATTTTTTAAATATGAAGGAGATGGAATACAACCGACCTTCCAAAAACATGATGCAGTTTGGCACCTACAATTCTTATATGAATTGTAGGTGCTTGCATGGGCGCCGGCAGCAGGGTGCAAGGGCTCGCACTTGCACCCCCCTGTCAGAAATACATTGAAAACAATATTTTTTATTTTATTATTTTTTTTTTAAATAAGTTACTGTTTGAATCAAGTTATTGAAGTCAAACTTCTAGGCGGCGTGATATTTGGACGACAATAATTTTTTTTATTTTTTTATTTTATTTTATTTATTCCATTCAACAACATATAATACACAGCAAGAAGATGATGATGAAACAATATGCATATAATGGACGTGAGCGTCTGTGTGAATGCATATTGGGCTCATCAATAAATTTTACAATTAAATTATCCTATAACATAAAAAAAAATACATTGACACATAATACCAATAAAGGCCGAGAAGAAAAAAAGAGAAAAAATTGAAAAAAAACAAATATGTTTTACTGTAATTTAATGAAGCGTTTAATGGTATTTGTGTTATCCCTAATCCATACGTGTAACTGTTTCTTAATCCTACTATATTTTCTGTTTTTATATTGTTCTGGTAACATATTCAATAATTTGGGTGCTATATAAGTAATACATCTTTGTGTCGCACTATAATGCGTAATGGGCAATATAATATTATGATTTGCATTTGCTCTTGTTTGAATGCCATGACTGATAAAATTCTGAAAGTTTTTGCTGGAAATTGAAAATCTTAGGACATTTTTGATATATAGTTGAGCAACAGTGAAAACGCCAGACTCCATGAACAATAGGTCAGATGGGAATTGCTTATGTTTAAACAAAATAACTTTCAATATATATTTTTGTACAATGGTAATGTTTTTCAAAACATCATTGTGAGCGGAACCCCAGCATATTATGCCATAGCTCAAGCAGGATTCAGCTAATGCTTTGTACACTCTTATGATTGTTTTTTTATCTAGTATATTACGTAATTCATAAAATTTGTATAAGAGTTTTTTTAGTTTGTTTTTAGCGTAATCAGTATGATGCTGCCATTTCAAGTGATTATCAAAGTAAACACCCAAATATTTAATTTTATTTGCTGATTTGATGTTATCAGAACATGTACAGTCGTTTTTCATATTACAATCAGTGGTGTGCACCCTAAGTACATGCCTGTTTGGTAACCCCCTCGCGCTCATTGAAAAACACATGAAGTTAGTTTTTTTAACATTCACTGTGAGGGAATTCATGTCCATCCATGCCCGAACACTGCACATTGCACTTTCAGCTCTCGAAAAGGTTTCGTCCCAACAAACCCTTTACATAAAAGAACCGTGTCATCCGCGAAACATACTACTTTTACTTCAGGGATTACATGTGAAAGACTATTAATATATATTAAGAATAGTATGGGTCCAAGCACTGTACCCTGTGGAACACCGCACTTTAGATCTATAAGTGAACTTGAAACCGCATCAAGATTAACTCTTTGAGTCCTATTTGTTAGATACGACTCGAATAGCTCAAGCACTCTACCTCTTATACCACTGTTATATAATTTGTTCAATAAAGTGCGATGGTCCACAGTATCGAACGCTTTGGTTAGGTCCAGAAAAACAGCGAGAGGCTTCCAACCATTATCGAAACAATCTACAATGAAAGTGGTGACTTCATTCAAGGCATCATCTGTACCAGCCCCCCCCCCCCCCCCCCCCCCCGTGAAACTATACTGTGACTCTGACAAAACTTTATTTACATACAAAAAATTGCATAATCGCTTTTTAATGCATTTCTCAATAATTTTACAGATGGGGCTAGTGAGTGCAATGGGTCTATAGTTGCCCGGATCGGTTTTATCACCTCCTTTATGTAGTGGGACAATCACTGCCCTTTTGAAAATATCTGGAAAAATACCATTAACATATATCAAATTCACAATATGTAGGTACAAGGGGGGAAAGCAGAACCCTAAAATTTGATTTTACAATCTGGTTAGAGACGCCAAAATCATCAGCTGAAGACCATGGCTTCAGTGATGTCACAGCATTTATAATTTCGTCCTCATTAACAGGGTGCAAAAACATGGAAGGAAACTGCCGCTGTCTAACCACACCACCTGGAACATTTTTTGGCTTAGTTATTTTACTGGCCAGCTTAGCACCTACAGAACTAAAGAACACATTCAATTCATTTGCTACCTGCCCCTGATCATAGACTTCTTGATTATTGCCATTCCTAATACATGGAATATTAGTTTTTATGTTACAGTCATTTGTAACTTGTTTTATTACTTCCCAAGTTTTTCTCGGATCACCACTTGCAACCTCCAATCTTTGTTTATAGTAATTAGCTTTTGTATTTCTAATAAGTTTGGTTAACATATTTCTATAGTTTCTATAATTAATACGGACCGTTTCATCTAATGGATTACGGACACAGAGTTTATATAATTTATCTCTGTTTCTGATGGAAGCAAGTAAGCCTGCAGTAATCCATGGTTTGAGACGATATTTTTTATTTGAGATTGTTTTCACATTTGTTGCAGCAAATATATGTTTCTTTAAGGTATTCATAAAAATTTCAGAGGCAGTATTGGGATCATGACATAACAAAATTTTTTCCCAATTTTGGGTTTGAAGTGAATTTTTAACTTGTTCGTAGTCAACCTTACTAAAAGACCTATTGTTCTTTTGTTGAGCATAGGAATTTACTTTATTTGTCAAGTTAACATTAAACAACAAGGAATGATGATCCGAAACAGAACTGGTTAGTATTATCAGGTTGCTTTTATATTTTATTTTGCTCTTCATGAATATATGGTCTATACATGTCTTACTACACCCATCAATCCTAGTAGGTTTATCAACTTTAGAAATATAACCATAGCTATTGAGACAACTAACATATTCATTGACAATCATTGACTTAGAATTCAATAAATTAAAATTTATGTCACCGACAAAAAGCTCAATATCACAAGCAGTATAATGAGCTTGTCCAAAGAGACCTATCAGAGAGGGGATATAATCAACTTCTTTAAGGGAAGGAGACCTATAATGGGAAATCACCCCTATACTAGTATTGTCCTTAGTGAGTGTAACTCTCAAGAATTTATAGTCATTTATTTCAATTACATTGCTCGTTTTTACTATTGCGCTCTTACAATAAATCAAACTGCCATCACACTTATTAATTTTGCTTTCATTATAAAATAAATCATAGTCTTTAATACGAAAGTTTAATACATTATGGAGAATGTTGGTCTCTGACAGCACAATTAAATCGAAATGACTGTTCAGAGATTCAAGAAAAATTACAAGGTTATCAAAATTCTTATTAAGACTCCTAATGTTAACATGCAATAAATTAAAATTTTGCGTTGAGGCTTTAAAAAAATTTATGTTATCCAATGTATCGCATACTCTAATGCTACAGCAACCAGTATTATAATCGTCCAATATAGAATTAAAGTCCATAACGAAAAAAAGTAAGACATACCTATATCCTACTATTTTACTGCCAAGTTTATGATTCTGTTCAATCGCCTTGCTTTATTTTCTCAATATCTTCCATGCTATTGATTCTTAAAACTGGATCATTCTCTTTCTTCCTCACAAATATTTTTCCATCCTTAGCCCAGATAAATTTAAACCCATGTCCATTGAGAGTTCTAGCTGACATAAACAACTCTTTGGTTTCCTTGGGCATATCATCATTTAGATATATAAGGTGCGATCCGGTCATGTTACATTTGTTGCTGACAATTTTTCCAATTTGTTTTCTCTTCTGCATAACTTGATGCTTTACATCAACTGACCGAAATATTGCCAATATTGGGGTGTTGTCTTTAGTTGGAGATAGAATTTTCAATTTAACATCTTCAGATTTTAGTGTAGGATCAACATACTTTAGAACTTTTTCAGCCCTTATTTCAACTTCTCTTGGTCCATTTCTAATTTCATCCAGACTACTTTTAATGCCAATAATGACAATATTATTGGCTCTATTTTCAATATCCTTGACTATGGATTGACCTTTAAGTTTAACTAGTTCTCGACTCATGTCCTCATTCACTTTTTTTAGTGCCAGGATTTCCTTGCTAAACATACTATTTTTCTCTTTTTGAACTTCATACTGTTCAGCATAGAATTTTAGATCATTTCTGAGATCACGTATTTCCCTCCTAAGTTCATTTATGCATTCCAATAGGACTCCATCACAATCATCCTTGGTTTCCTTGGGCTCATGTGTATTAGACATGGACATATCCATAGATTTTCTTACTTGATTTTTTGTGTGGGCTTTACAATCATCACAGTAAAAATGATTATTCAGTTTATGCATAACTTCTAGTTCGAGACTTGTAAGGCCAGTACACGCAACATGTAACCAATTCTTGCACTTAGTGCATTGCACCGATGCCTGAGTTTTGGTAACATTGCTAGTACACACAACACATTTGAGAACCTTACGATTTCCACCCATGTTTGAAGCCAATGACGCTTCACAGCATACACCAATTTTACCGGACTACGGTAACGAATTGTATTTCTTGCAAGAATTTGGAACACTGGAGCTACTCGCTCCGGTGTTACTTGACAACGGTTTTAAAGGGAGAGATGCGGGGCGTGTTAGGAAAATAACTATATTTAATTCAAATATTTTCTATGAGCTAACTAATGCATGATTTATTTACTAGAACTAAATATTTATTTATTTTGTAAAAATGGTTGATATTGAGCTAAACCAAGAATAATTTAATTCAAGCAAACGGAATGGAAACGGTCAAACAAATTCAGATTTTTTTTTAAACAAATATTTGTTTGTCCATTATCAACCAAATATTTATTTAAGGGAACTCCATTTTTCTTTGGAGCAAATTATTTTTTTTTTTCAGTGCTTTAAATAAATTGCTGTTTGTTGATTAGAGAGCCTATTGAGTTTGCAGTAAAGTAACAAGTTAGAAAACTTGAATTTGCAGATAAATGATGCATACTTATAACTTGTACTCTACTCTGCTATAACATTAGGAAAACATACCTGGCCAAATATCAACCATTCGGTGATGGATAGGGCATAAGAATAAGTTTATTGTGAACAAAGGACAAGGTGTGTACCTTTCAATAGACTAGCAATAAAAGAAACACCAAACCAGAACATTTCAATGAAAAAGAAAACATGTAATTCGCCATGTTTGTACCTACTGACTGTAGAACCTATGAAAATATAACCTGAATGATTATTGTAATTTTATGCGGAAGTAGTGAGTAAATTTTTGTTACATTATTCTAAACCACAAAATTCTTTATTAAATATTATTATTATACATCACTTGACTATTGTTAAGATACCACATTTCAATATATTTTCTTAGGAATACATTTTTTTGTCATATATTGACGGCAACGATCTGGGCCACAAAAGCATCCAGGATAACAGCTTTTATCACATACATCACTATCGCGATCCAATTGACATTGGTCTACACAAGTATTTCCGCAATATGAGAACGTTTCATGTTCGCCACAATCTGAAAAAAAAAATAATAATTGGTTCAACTAGAATGCAATCAATTTATGAGGTCTTGAAGTTGATGAGGGAAGCAATATTTTTCTCCGCCAATGTTTCGATTAATTTATGTAACATAACCTTCAACAGATATTATATCTTTACTTAGGACCGGATATTGCTTCGTTTACGGCATCATTTTTTGTTGAAGTTTCAGACCTCTTTCAGGTTCCCTTGGTAGAGGTAAGCAATTTTCTAGGATTTTTTCAAATATTACTCGAAATGTTTTCTAATGCAATAATTGTTGTGAAGATTCAAGCTCAGCTCAGGGATTCACTCAGGAACTGATTCAAAGCTCAACTGGGAGCTTAAGAACTGATCCAAAGTTCAACTTAGTGATCTCTCAAGCACTCTCTATAAAAACAATTCAGATACAGAATAAGTTGCCACTGTGAGCAATCATGACAATATCAGAAATCCTCTTCCACTCTTATTTCACACTACCTTAAGTTTCATGCCAGTTACATATTTACAAATTAGGCATATTATTTTTCTGGGCGTTCAGTTTTTGCGGCAGAATAAAACGTGCACCAACTTATTTCTGGTCATTCGACGCAATGCATTTCATTTGTATATAGTACAAGGATTCAATAAATATCCGACGACAAAGAACGAAATACTCACATTTAGAGGCCTTTCAGAAAAAAATCTTTATGATTGTGTAATGAGTCGCCTCTTTCCTCTCGAATAATGTAAAGTTTAACAAGGAAATAAATCTGAAAGCTGAATTGAAAATCAAAAAGCCGACTACATCTAAGCGAGACGTAGATAACCATTTAACCATATTCTTATTTTGAGCTAGCAGCCGGCCTATTAACCGCGCAAAATCTGCCATCCAGGTAGTCAAGTGGAAGTGCCGTCATATCATTAGAGCGTAACCCTGGCGATCTGATAATTATCATCGAACGAAATCGTGATAGTTGGCCAGATGTTCACCAAAAATTGATAAGTCGAGGCCAATAAACCGAATAAAACCCGTTTTCAACAAAACTTCTAAAAGTCGGAACTGTTTGAAGCACATAAACAAATAATTAACACGTTGAATACGACCAGTCACTATAATGGCCACAAAATGTTGTAAGAAATGTACCGCTGCCACAATAGTGGCCGGTATTTTAAAGTATTTCAAACGAGTATTGAATTGCCGCGGTGCAGAATAGAAGGTTTCATTTAGTTGTGTGGTACACAGAAAGGGTTGACAAAATGCCCCCCACCCACCATGACCACTATATTGGCCATGTAGTACCTACATTAGTCGTTCATTTTCACTTGTGCTGAATAAGTGTCTTGTTGGATTTAGGCAGCTTTTGTGCATTCTGGGGTGGCAATCTGCTTCACATACCTTCAGAGAAATGGATTATCCGAGGGATTATCAAAATATTTGAAGCAAATAGAAATACGGAAAAACTGCGATGCATATCCTGATCCGAATTCGTTTCATTCCGTAAAACAACGCTAGAACCAATCCCGAAACAAACACAAAATTCAACGCCCTCAAAACGAAGCCAACTGAGATGCCAACAATGTTCCAGAAATAACATAAGAAAAAGGACCAGATACCAATGCCCAAAGTGCGATGAAAGTCCAGGTTTATGTATTCATCCGTGTTTTAAGATATGGCACACAAAATAAAGCTAAAAATATGATTTCTATTCAAAGTTTTCTTTGTATTTCAAAAAGTCTTAGTTTATTCATGGCCATTATTGGTACATCAGGCTTATATTTTTTCAAAATAGACCAGTGGCCACTATAGTGGCTCAAGGACAGAGCTGTGAAAGTCATATTAAAAACTCCTATTAGTCACTTCTGTCTTAGTTTCATATTAATATGTCAATTCTCAATCCGTTTGTAAGTTATCCACTGCGGTACAGCAGTATAGAACTGGTTAAAGCATTATTGATACTCAACGTGGTGTAACGTGTGTTTAACCTATTTATATTTTCTAGCATATTGCGGGATTTAGATTTCGAAAATATCAAAAACAAAATCAATTATATTATCTATTCACAATCTGTAGTCCAAAGGTACAGGAAAATTTATCACCTTTCAATGCTATTTGAGGAAAATCATCAATCGGGCAAACTGCTCCGGTGCATTAGAAAAACTGTTGTATTTACCAGGTGAAAGGAGGACGACTTAGAAACCCTCTAAATAATCCGGTCAAAAAATCTAATACAATATCTACAAATCGGTCAAAACTGAGTGAATTGGGACACGTTCTTCCATCTGGACACGCAGCTGCAGCTGATTTTTTAAATATGAAGGAGATGGAATACAACCGACCTTCCAAAAACATGATGCAGTTTGGCACCTACAATTCTTATATGAATTGTAGGTGCTTGCATGGGCGCCGGCAGCAGGGTGCAAGGGGTCGCACTTGCACCCCCCTGTCAGAAATACATTGAAAACAATATTTTTTATTTTATTATTTTTTTTTTTAAATAAGTTACTCTTTGAATCAAGTTATTGAAGTCAAACTTCTAGGCGGCGTGATATTTGGACGACAATAATTGTATTTCTTGCAAGAATTTGGAACACTGGAGCTACTCGCTCCGGTGTTACTTGACAACGGTTTTAAAGGGAGAGATGCGGGGCGCAACCATCAATGACGTTGGTGCAACAAACACTTTGCGAAAGGAATAAACGCGTAGCGCCCCGGAGCTGTTCCGGAGCTCCTCTTAGGTGTAAAAGGAATGCAACTAATGAAGAGTAATTTGAAATACACGTTACGGGCAAATTTCGTTACTCGAGAGAGAAGAAAGATAAACGTAAAGAGACGGAGAAAGACAGCTATTAATTGACAGAAACCAAAGATTATAAGCGTAAAAACGATTGCCTATTATTGACCAGCGCCGATACTATTGTGATGTCACGTTACTATAGATGCGTGTCTTCCTTTGTTATACTACTATCATTGCGTTTTGTGATTATTTTCGTTATTTATACATTACATATTTGTGTCCTGTGCTTTTTTTTATTTATTTAAATAACTTCAAAAATAAAGAAATTACGACTGTTTAAACTGTTATCAAGATAAAAAGAGCACACTGTACATACCGTTGTATTTGCCTTTCACTTATTATTGGCGTAGCATTATCCATGGAAATTTGACAGGTTGACATCGTATAATAGTGACAATACATGTCAAATTCCAGACAGTTTTAAGCAATGAACTGTGTGTTTCACATAATTTCGTAAGTGTCGCAGTATTGAAATTCTCTGGCCTATCTGGCCAATCAAATTTGACACATTTGTCAATATATTTTTCAATAATGCAACATATAAACGGCACCTTACTATTCTGCATACCTGCAAAATCCATTGATATTGTTCAAAATTCGGCATTGTCAAATTTATTTCATACTAGCTAATAGCCCGCTGCGTTGCCAGCGTGAAAATACATTTTGAAATAATACACTTTTTTTCAAATTTTGTTGTTGATTTTCTTTTTTTTTTTTTTAATCCGATACCAGAGTCGCTTGCCAGTGAGTTCAGTGACGCATTTTAAGCACTCCAGAGCTATTCTAGAGCGCCCCGGGCTGTTTATAGGCGTTCCAATATATCAGTTTCGCGCAACCGAACTTTTTTTTTCGGGATAAAAAATAGCCTATAGCACTCCCCTCTTTAGCCGAATTCGATTGACCGGATTAGATCGATCTGGTTGAATTTAAGTGAACCACACTGTGTTCGATTGAGGTTGGATAAGTGCACCCTCATCAACAAAAAAATTAATACGTGGTATTAAATTCAAGATCGGTCCAGCCGTTCTCGAATTC